TCTCAGGCTTCGGCCTACCGCCCTCACCGACTACACCGCCACAAACCATCCTAAAATCCTCTAGCCTCAGCCTACCCCAGGAGCCTAAAGAGGTCCGCTTTGTAATGAGGAGCTCCAGCGCCCGTTCCCGCTCTCGCTCCCCTTCCCCATCACCCTCCCATTCCCCTGGCCTGGGGTCACCACTTTTAGCCCTGCGGCCCTTCCACCAAAAACCCCTCCACCTCTGGAACAAGTACGACGTTGGAGACTGGCTGGAGAGCATCAATCTGGGGGAGCACAGAGCAGGGTTTCAGGAACATGAGATTGAAGGCTCTCACCTCCCAGCTCTAACCAAGGATGACTTTGCAGAACTGGGAGTGACACGAGTTGGACATCGCATGAACATTGAACGAGCACTAAAACAGCTGCTAGAGAGCTGACCCCTGCCCTGAGACACAGCAACAGTTAGAGAGAAAGATGAGGATAGAACGGGGAAGATGCAAAGTTGATGAAAATGAAGAGAAAACATAGGAGCCACTCCTCTTTTACTCTGGCTGCTTTTATGTTCTGCATCACAAATGTTTACTTGTCGTCCTCAGCGACACTTTACGTTACCATTCTGCATCAATACCCTGCACTTGGCACTGCACTGAAGAGGAGGACACAATACATTTGTCCCCCTCTACTAGGCCCTTAGTGTCTGCCCACCTTCTTGCCTGCAGCCAATTAGATCAGACTTCAAAATGGGCTCTGGTCTTTGCCGAGGAGAATCGCATGAGCTCCAATTAAAACATCTGATTTGGGAAAACAGTTGTTCCCTTAGTAACACCCACACTTTCTCTCTCACTTTTCCCCTCCTTTCCTCTCTACCTCTATCCCTTCATCTATTAGGCCTCTGAAAGCCTTTTGCAGTTTGAGTAAAGGAGGAGGAGGAAGAATTTTTGTTCCAAACAGAAAGCTCAGTTGCCTTTCAAAATATTTATACAGAGATCAACAATGACAAACACAGGACTATGGACATAGTGCTGACACAGCTCTGATAAGGTGCGTCTTCTCTATACCTGCTGTTGTTTTTAAACCGAAGACTTTAGAGCCCAGAGGTGGAGCTCCACAAAGTAAACCACGGGAGAAAACCCCTCCGCCTTGGTACCCAGACTGTGCTATCTATTATATTTGGAGAATGTTTAACCAACACTCGTGGCTTTTTTCATAATCAATTTTTTGGTTTTCCAAAGGGAATATTATATATAGGTATTATATAATATGATATATATGTATCTAAATATAGCTTTCAGAAGAAAAGACAATGTTGCAAAGAGGAAATGTAATAATTTGCGCCTGTTTTTGGTTTTTAGTATAGAAGGCAGAGAGAAATCTTTATTCCACCAATAGTTTACTCATTTCTACCAATTATATACATAAATATACATATATATATATATATATTTGAAAGAAAAAAGTATATAGATATGGAAATGAAATTTTTGTCATAGGTATACAACTTTCCTTATGGTCACCCTTTCTTGAACCGTAGCATGACGAGTTGCATCATGGTCTTGAACAGAGAGTTTGTTGTTTGTTTTTATTTTCTTACGGTCTTCCTTCATACTAAAGGGCATCCCGTAATGTGAGGCTGAGACCCCAGTTGACACCCATCCCTACTGCTTCAGCTACAGATCTTACCAACGTTGCTCTGTCTCTGATTTATCCACCTTATGAGACAGCTAGTCGGTAAAAGGGGCTCTTCATCTTATGCCTGTTACTCAGGGATGGAAGTTTGGGGCACTAGCATGGAGAGGTTGTTGGCTGTTGTTTTAATACTATCCATTTAAATTCTTACCTGTAAGGACACTTTAATACCACCACAGTCTGAAAAATGTTAGAGGGCTAGTAAAAATTTCCATCCCTGCAACCCCTGAGGATGCTTCTCAGACTGGGCCGCACAAGGTCGAAAGAAGGTCAGGAAAAGGAAACATTGGGGTGCTTCTCATCACCAGTAGAGAGGAAATGACCATGGAAGATTTAATTTTTCCTACAGGAGGAAACCACTGTTAAGTTCCAAGTCTGTTAACCTGGCCAAATTTACCTGGAATATAACCAACAAAAACTTGTCAAACAAGGGCTTAAATGAGCTAGACATACAGTATGTGCCCTTCTGAAGTGGCACTGCAGGGAACGTGTCTGTAGTTTATCAGGCTGTGGGGATGGGAAAGCCTCTGTAAGGTCTTAAAGAAAATTCAGTATTTTACAACCTGGCAGCGTCTTGCAACATCAACTGCTTCCCTGTATCTCTACAATTTACTTAGTGAGTAAAATAATATCATAAACGGTGGCAGCCAGAACTCTGAAAATAAGACCCAGGTTGTAAAAAATAAATGAATAAATAAAAATAACTGAATTTTTCTTTAACAATATAAAAATCTATAATTGTACTCATGAGTAGCTTCTGCTGGCAGTGAGAAACAGTGAGTTTTATTCACGCAACAACAAAAAAAAAAGCATTTTATCCATAGCTTTTCTCTGACAGTTGAGGTAATCTCTATTACCACAAAAAAAGACACCTCCATACATCAGCAGCATCCAGTCAGTATGCCAAGTCAGTTTCACTTGGCGAGAAGTTGTGTACATCTTTTTTTCTTTTCTTCTTTGCTAGCAGTTTGTAAAAGCGGGTGGCAAATATAACGTTGTATCTGGGTTGTAGGAATAGCACTCACTGCCTCACTGTGACCTCACTGATTATTTTACTTCTGACTCTGTCCTCAAACTCATTTGGACTTTTTGTGTTAATGGTTATTTTTTTAATTCTTTTATTTTTTCCTCTTTTGTTGTTGATTTGTTACCCTCGGACACTGTGGGTAGATTTTGTAGCGTGTGAAACATGATACTTAAATCTTTCACTCATTTGAATTTTAGAGTGACAGAAAAAAAAACTAATATCCTGTCCATTCTAAACGTACTTACACTTGTAAAAACGAACAAACTACAAATATTTGCTTTTTTTAAAAATCACAAGCAATGTATATATGATAGATTTCATATAAATTTTTGAAAAACACAAAGTATATAGATCTATATATGAATGTTTGGCATATATGCATAGTTAACCACCTGTGGAAAAGGTGAGCAGATTTTATTCTTTCTATGAACTCTTGAACTTTTGAACTCTGAACTATGAACTAGGGGATGATTTGCACAAAACAAGGTGACAAGGTGCTAACATAAAAGCCACCCATTGTTCAAGCGCATGCGTGCATCTGGATTCCCTGAATCTCTCTGTGTGGTCGTTCCTCTTCAGCGTGTGTTTACAGCTGTGTGTGTATGTGTGCAAGTGCTTGTTTGTTTCCATTTTGTGTGTGTTTGTGAGAGAGAGACGATGAGAATGCACACATGACCGTGAGAGAGTGTATGGTTGATCGATAGGGTTTACATCATTGGAGCTAGTCCACTATAGCCTTACTGTATTACCATCAGAGATTCCCGGCAGTGGCTGTGTCACAAACACACACACAATACATTCACACACAAACAGAAAAATGCACACATACATTTTCATTTCCAGAATGAACTTGTTTTGCATTCTCGTCTCGTACTGACGTCTTCGAAAAGTGGACTGCCCAAGAGGGAGGGAGAGACAGAGAGAAAGAGAGATAACCATGGGATACTGAATGAAACCATTGTAACATTTTATACTGCAAGACAACTATAACTCACCTTGTAACTGTGTAGGCACAGCTTACACAGTGTCACTGTTTTGTACACCCATTCCCAGATGACATTTGCGCTCTTTACCCTCCACTCTGTCTGGCAGCACTCCTTTTTCCTTTTTCAGACCTTCAGTTTCTGAGTTTTGGATATGCTATATGAGGTGATCCAGTGAGGAACAAACAACACAAAGGAAAAATGTGCCAAAAAATAACTTAACTTTTAACTGTATATTTGTCTTTGCTTTAGGACTATCTTAGTTACAGCATTCTTGAGCTGTTAGACTCAATAATATGGTGCCATCTCCTGGAAATCTTGAGAACTACGGACATTTGTTAGATCCTACAGTATTTCCTGCAGGTGGAAATACAGTCATTGTTATTATTTTGTAAAGAACCAGGCTATAAATATGTATATATGTATATGTATATATACATATATATATAGCCTGTGTATATCTACCTGTGAGCTTTGCATCAACATTTCTATTTAAATTTTGAGACAAAGTATCACAATTGCTTGATTTTACTGTGATGAAGGTTATTATCCAGCTTGGCTTACTGTTCCCCTATAAATACAAATAACGAATGAAACACAAACAACGTGTACAGTCTGGACTCACACAGGCTGGCCTGGTTAGAAGAAACAATGCTGTAGTGAATACCTGGTTGGATTGTTGTGTAAGTTTACCACAAATACAGATGCAAAATGAACAACGTGTAACAGACTTACACATCATTAGGTCAAATAAGTTCAGTGAAGGGTTATCTTTGTCTTATTTTCTAATCAACAAAGCACAATCTACATAGTGTAGGGGGAGCAGTGTAACCTTTTTAAAAATCCACTGGGTTCCGGTCACCCACTGGAACCAGTGATCTTATCATGAAAGGGGTTTTTCTTTCATTGTTGGTTTTCTCCTTGTTTGCACTGTGAAGTTTAGAATGGTGGATGTATCACTGCAACGCCTCAGCCTTGTCTCACAGGTGAACTTCCCCTTCTCAGCATCTGATGACCAGGAAAATCATCTGCAACTTCTCCCACCGACCTCTGGACGCTTATAGCAGTACAACCCCTCCTTCATTTTAATAAATGAAAGCCCACGTTGAAACACAAGTAAACCAGAAGCTACCTAGTATTCCTCATGCAGCAGAGTAAGGGTGATAGTGAAGGTTGAGGCAAGATCTGAGATGTTGCCCAGGATATCTCCACCACAGAGATATATGTTTGTTATATTATGTAATAAATTTATAATTAAAACATGAACTGCGTCAAATTCTTGTTCCTGCTAATTTAGATTGTCTCAGAATTAAAACTATGTTCCAGTGTGATTTATTGTGAGTAAATGCCACATAAAACAGTCAAATATAAATAGAAAATATACATACATGGTTTCTGTGTACATCATAATCATAGAAATAACTGAATTATGTGTTATCACCTTGTCTTACAGTGAGGCTTCACACAGGTTCTTCATAGCAACGTTCCTACAAATCACAAAGGACACAGCCGAACATTTCACAAGGCTGAGACCTTCACAAGAGCACAGCACAGTTGATGTCCGCTCATACATGACCAGCAGCTGCATGTTCTAAAATGCTGAAGTAGACTACTTAGTGCTCTTGTGCCAGCTGCTGAATCACACAGCAAGTCGGAAAGAGACATGATAATTTGGTTACATGGTACATTAAGTTTTCATTTGAGAGGCGCTGAAAACAGACTTTACATCATAAAATGAATGCAAAAAAAGCAGCCAACAGAAACAGCTCCCTGCTGGCCTTGTTCACAACACTACAAACAAACATTGAGAACAGCAGCAAATACAGTTCATAATCACACGTTCTCTTTGCTCTGTGTGGGTTCATCTTCAATGCCTCATATTCTTATTACGTGACACAAAGTAATTGGTTTTCACGCAAACATTCAGCCTCACTGTGGTATATTTCACAATTATAATGGTAGATATTGTTAGACAAAGTATGAGTGACAATGCTAAAATAGCAGCTAAATGAACCTGGTAAACAACACAATTCCTAATTATTACTCCAGATTTATTTCCCTGCCAATGTCACTGTACAGATGGAGGGCAGCGACTTAAAACCTGATGAAAAGACTGTCAGCCATCCTCCAGTAGCAGACTTACAATCCAATAGTATAAAAACAGACCACCACAATTACATAAGGACAACATGCTTGTTGATTGTGTCCATCACAGAAAATCAGAGATATCTGGCATTTTGACTAAAAGAATGATCTACTGGCAGCATCAGCTCCAAAGGAGGATAAATAATCCATGAGATGACAAAAGGGTTTACAGGATCTGTAAAAATCTGTCAGGCCAACTCAGGACTCTCTGCTTTCAATCCATCCTCATCTGTCTCTGAATTAATTTCTTTCTTCTCCAGGTCAAAGTTCTATAAGAGGAGTGAGACAAAATTACATCAGTACAAATATGTTGTCAGTCAAAAATGCTTATACAACTCATTTCAGCAACATAGAAAAGAGATTACTATGTGCACTTTCCACATGAACAAAAGATTTGAAAAGTAAATTGTGTTGGGGTTCATGAATCATAGTTCAAATAATGTAGGTTTTGAGTAATCATGTAAAAAATCTATTAAAAAAACAACAATGGCAGATTATAAACCAATTATGGAGTTTTTAGAGCAACAATTGCATAATACAACATTTTTCAGTCTTTGCAGTAAACATTATTTAGTTAGGGTTGCATAAAGCTACACCAGCTTAAAAGATGAGCACATCAGTGATCAGACTATGTTTTAGTATTCAGAGAGAAGTACCTCTAATTCTTGCATTACTTCATCCATGAAGTCGCTGGGGTTTTGCTTGTAGTCCACTGCTCTCTTGATCATCTCTCTGAACATCTGTTGTGACAGTTACAGTCAAACTATCAACATACACGCGCAGTTAAAGTGGTCTACAAAATGTATGATCTTACACTGAATTATAAACTGAATTAATCCGACTGTTTGTTTTAAAAAATGAGCACTGTCAATCCTTGTACAATTACATAGCATGATCTGTAAAACTACTAATGAGCTTGAAATACATGGACTTATGGATCACTAATATTTAATACTTAGAACAAAGTTCAAACCTTGACTACATTAGTCCCATCGGCCGCTGATACAAAGTAAAATGGGAGTCCTTGCTTCTTCCCAAAGTTAAAGCTTCTCTGCGTCACCTTCAAATCAGCTGTAGACAAGAAAAATCTGATACGTCCACATCAGTAAATCTAGTCACCTTTGTTGGTCAAAAGGTGAATCAAATGACCAATGTTTGCAAAATGAAAACAAACAAACATGATTACTCATCCTGCTGTAGCATTTTAAGTGCATAAAATCACTGTAAGAACTGAGTATTCATTGTTATGTGCAGTGTGAAAACCAAACTCACCATCGATTTTGTTGGCAACCACACAACAGGGTATCTCAGGTCTGTAATCTCTCAGCTCCTTATACCAGTTGGCCAGATTCTTATATGTGATCTTCCTTTGAACATCAAAAACCTTAAACAGAAAGCAGAGTATAAAAGAGTGCTCCCTGCTTTGCTGATTTCCACTGGTGCAATTCAACAATTATCTGACAGAGAGATAGAATCACCATCCTCATCTTAAATTCCATTACATGACTGCAGTGAGCAATGAGATAAACCCTTCAACACCAAGCAAACAATCTTAACTCTTAAACTCATCCTCACCAGAATGCACTGTGAAATCATGCATGAAAAATGCATGAAGCATGACCAAGTGATATAAGGATCAATACACAATGTTTAGACCATTTTATGATTTTTTGTGAAAGTAACCCATCTGAAATATTCTATTCCTTTCATCTCTGAGCACTAGAATTTCAGTCTCAGTTTACCTCGTGGCAAGTTCCTGGTAGGAAGCAAGAAAGGGCAAACTAAGTGATTATTGAAAGGCACCTATCTTAAAACCAAGAGTGTGGCTTACCATGATGCATGCATGTGCTTTGTGATAGTATGACGGATGCATGCTCTGAAACCTCTCCTGACCAGCTGTGTCCCAGAAATCTGTGGATCAAAAAAAAAAGCCATCGCTGCAGAAGCAACAAGAAGTCTGATCCTGGCTAATGCTGCTGATTTAAAAATGGTTTTAAGATGGGTGAAATTATTTCCAGTGGTCACTCAGAGCACAACAAAGCAGATGCACAATACATACCGACGGCTATCGTCTTGTTTCCTACAGCTGCGGTGTGTTTGTAGAGAGTCAGAGCATAGGTTGACAACTGCTGAGGACGGCTGTAATAAGAGTTAAGGATCTTAACCTCTCAGGAAGGTCTGCTTTGGTGGACGCATGCCCACTTGAGTTTAAACAGCATGATCATGTGCAGACAGTGACTGTAATGGCTATGACAGGACGATATAATGTTAACTGTAAAATACAGTCACTGCTTCATTTTAAATTTCTAGAGCTGCTAAAGGATACTATTCATCCATTAGAAACCTCTCCATCAGCCTAGAAAGAAATAGAAACAGTCTGTGTCAACGCAACAATACTGTTATGTTATACAGGACAACAGATACTGAGGAAAGATAAAAATATAATGAAACACATCACAAAAAGGTAGTGTGAGATTATGACCACAAATACTTACTTAGATTTACCAACTGCGCTGTCGCCCAGACAGATGATCTTCACTTGTTCGTCTGCATCGTATTTCTTCTGGTCCAGTTCAGGAATGCTGCCAACGTCACCAGCCATTCTCTTCTTTTATTGCTTTGACTGGGATGATTGTATCAGCAGATGCTTGTCTAGTTGGGTTTATAACTTAAATACCTGAAAAAAACTGAGTTCCAAAAGGAGCTAGCATCCACCGGCTTGTGACAATAAAAAGTGTTAGCTAGTTTGCCACCGGTTAGCTGAGGTTACCATTGCGTAGTTCGACTGGATGGCAAAACCGATTCTAGCTGAAAGTGACAATGGCACATAAATAGTCATTGATTACATTTTAAAGTCTCTTGTAAACACCGTGCCATTACCTTCTCAGTGCGCTCCGAGACACTCAAGGATGCAACTGGTGCTAACAGCTAACAGTGTGCTAGCGCCGCTAAATGAATTAGCGTTGATAGCGTTTGTTAGCCAAGGGTACTTATTCAAATGTCGACGACTGTCTTGTGTATACTATTCTTCTGTAACACGAGGACAATCTATACTATTTTCTTCACTAGCGAATCAGGGATCCGGATAAAAGTTTGTAGATGTTGCATGAAGTCCCCGACGGTTTTCGTTTCTATGCAACGGAGACGCCCGAAGGACCACTTCAATAAGTATGCTACTGTCCTTGTATGTGCCTGTCAAAAATCCTAAATATAACATTAAAACTAATTATACAAGTATGTATGTAGAATTCTGCAATTTTGCAGAATTTTCCCTTGAACAACATACCCTTCCTCACGGCCTGCCTTATTATGCCTTTTTACTATGACTTTTTATGCCATACTATACTATGACTTCGTTTTTCCTTATTTTACTGTTGACCCTTTATGCCTTACTATACTATGACATTTTATGCCGTATTATACTATGACTTTTTATGTCTTACGATACTATGACGTTTTTATACCTTACTATACTGTGACGTTTTTTTAAGCCCTACTATACTATGACTTTTTATACCTTATGATGCTATGAAGTTTTTATGCCCTCCTATACTATGACTTTTTAAACCTTATTATACGATGACCTTTTAATGCTTCCTATACATTTTTATGCCTTACTATACTATGGCCTCTATGGAGCAGCTCGGTAGAGCAGTGGTTATAACTAGAAAATGACAAGGTTATGGATTTTAATCCTGGTTTGGGTCCTTTCTCTATGTAGTTTACATGTTCTCTCTGTGCATGCCTGTGTTCTCTCTGGGTACTCCGGCTTCCTCCCACAGTACAAAAACATGAATATTAGGTTACTCAAGTGCCTTACTATACCATGACTTTATGTCTTACGATACTAACACATTTTTATGACGTTTTGTGCTTTACTATACAATGAGGTTTTTATGACGTTTCATGCCTTACTATGGTATGACGTTTTTATGACTTTTTATGCCTTACTATACTATGATATTTTAATGACTTTTAATACCTCATTATACATGACGTTTTACTATGATGTTATTATGACATTTTTACATATTACTACACAAGGCCTTTTTCTGACATTTTCATGTTTTATTATACTATGGCGTTTTATGACTTACTATACTATGGTGTTTTTGTGCCTTACTATACAATGACCTTTTATGCCTTACTATACCATGACATTTATACCTTATGTACTATGACCTTTTATGCTTCCTATACTATGACACTTTTATGCCCTACTATACTATGGCTTCTGTATGGGGCAGCATGGTAGAGCAGTGGTTAGAACTTCTGCCTTACAATGACAAAGTTATGATTCGAATTCTGGTTTGAGTCCTTTCTCTATGTAATTTGCATATCACCCTGTGCATGCATGTGTTCTCTCTGGGTACTCCGGCTTCCTCCCACAATCCAAAAACGTACATATTAGGTTACTCAAGTACCTTACTATACAATGACTTTATGTCTTACTATACAAACACATTTTTATGACGTTTTGTGCATTATTATACTATGAGGTTTTTATGACTTTTCATGACTTACTATACTATGACATTTTCATGACGTTTTATGCTATACTATAGTATGACATTTTTTGACATTTTATGCCTTATTATAGAAAGACATTTTATGCCTTACTAGGATATGATGTTTTTATGTTGTATTATGCCTAACTATGCCATGGTGTTTTTTTTACATTTTTATACTTTACGATACTATCACATTTCCATGACGTTTTATGCCTCACTATACTATGAGTTTTTTTACATTTTATGCCTAACTATACTGTGACGTTTTTATGACTTTTCATGCCTTACTATACGATGCCATTTTAGGACATTTTCATACCTTACTACACATGATGTTTTATGCCTTACCATAATATTATGTTTTTATGACGTTTTATGCCTCACTATACTATGAGGTTTTTTGCCTTACTATGCTATGACGTTTTCTGACATTTTCTGCCTTACTATGCTATGAAATGTTTTGACATTTTTATACCTTACTATACTTTAATGCTTTTTTTGAGATTTTTATACTTTACTACACTATGACATTTTTTGCCATTTTTATGCCTTACTTTACTATAACGTTTTTAAGTTTCATACCTTACTTTAATTTGACAGTTTTTTTGGGATTTTTATACTTTATACTACTATACTACACTATAATGTTTGATGCCTTACTATAGTATGACGTTTTCTGACATTTTTGCCTTACATTACCATGACGTTTTTATGCCCTTTTATGCCTTACTATAATTTGATGTTTTTTATGCCATTTTTATGCCCTACTATACTATGACATCTTTATGCCCTTTTATGCCTTACTATAAAGGGCCTTTCTCTGACATTTTCATGCCTTACTATACTGTGATTTTTTCATGACTTTTTATGCCTTACTATACTATGACGTTTTTATGCCCTTTTTTGCCTTACTATATTATGATGTTTTCTGACATTTTCTGCCTTACTATACTATGAAATTTTTTGGCATTTTTATACCTTACTATGCTTTGATGCATTTTTTACGTTTTTATTGCCTTACTATACTATGAAATTTTTTGACATTTTTATACCTTACTATGCTTTGATGCTTTTTTTACGTTTTTATTGCCTTACTATACTATGAAGTTTTATGCCTTACTATACTATGACGTTTTATGCCCTTTTATGCCTTACAATAGTATGACGTTTTTATAACATTTCATGCCTTACTATAATTTGACATTTTTTATTACGTTTTTATTGCCTTACTATACTATGAAGTTTTATGCCTTACTATAGTATGACGTTTTCTGACATTTCCTGCCTCACTATGCTATGAAATTTTTTGACATTTTTATACCTTACTATAATTTGACATTTTTTTTTACATTTTTATTGCCTTACTATACTATGAAGTTTTATGCCTTACTATACTATGACGTTTTATGCCTTACTATAGTATGACGTTTTCTGACATTTCCTGCCTCACTATGCTATGAAATTTTTTGACGTTTTTATACCTTACTATAATTTGACATTGTTTTTTACATTTTTATTGCCTTACTATACTATGACGTTTTATGCCTTACTATAGTATGACGTTTTCTGACATTTCCTGCCTCACTATGCTATGAAATTTTTTGACGTTTTTATACCTTACTATAATTTGACATTGTTTTTTACATTTTTATTGCCTTACTATACTATGACGTTTTATGCCTTACTATAGTATGACGTTTTCTGACATTTCCTGCCTCACTATGCTATGAAATTTTTTGACGTTTTTATACCTTACTATAATTTGACATTGTTTTTTACATTTTTATTGCCTTACTATACTATGACGTTTTATGCCTTACTATAGTATGACGTTTTCTGACATTTCCTGCCTTACTATACTATGAAATTTTTTGACATTTTTATACCTTACTATACGTTGACGTTTTTTTTACGTATTTATTTCTTACTATACTATGACGTTTTATGCCCTTTTATGCCTTACAATACTATGACGTTTTTATGACATTTTATGCCTTGCTATACATTGAGGTTTTTTTTACATTTTTATTGCCTTACTATACTATGACGTTTTATGCCCTACAATAGTATGATATTTTATGCCTTACTAAAATTTGACATTGTTTTTAACGTTGTGATTGCCNCATACTTACATTTTCTGCATTATTATACCGTGAAATTTTTTGACATTTTTATACCTTACTATACTTTGACGTTTTTTTTACGTTTTTAATGCCTTACAATACTATGACGTTTTATGCCCTACAATAGTATGATATTTTATGCCTTACTAAAATTTGACTTTTTTTTTACGTTTTTAATGCCTTACAATACTATGACGTTTTATGCCCTACAATAGTATGATATTTTATGCCTTACTAAAATTTGACTTTTTTTTTACGTTTTTAATGCCTTACAATACTATGACGTTTTATGCCCTACAATAGTATGATATTTTATGCCTTACTAAAATTTGACTTTTTTTTTACGTTTTTAATGCCTTACAATACTATGACGTTTTATGCCCTACAATAGTATGATATTTTATGCCTTACTAAAATTTGACTTTTTTTTTACGTTTTTAATGCCTTACAATACTATGACGTTTTATGCCCTACAATAGTATGATATTTTATGCCTTACTAAAATTTGACTTTTTTTTTACGTTTTTAATGCCTTACAATACTATGACGTTTTATGCCCTACAATAGTATGATATTTTATGCCTTACTATACTATGACGTTTTTATGACATTTTATGCCTTGCTATACATTGAGGTTTTTTTTACATTTTTATTGCCTTACTATACTATGACGTTTTATGCCCTACAATAGTATGATATTTTATGCCTTACTAAAATTTGACATTGTTTTTAACGTTGTGATTGCCTTACTATACTATGACGTTTTATGCCTTACAATATTATGACATTTTTATGACATTTTATGCCTTACTAAAATTTAACTTTTTTTTTTACGTTTTTATTGCCTTACTGTACTATGACGTTTTATGCCCTTTTATGCCTTACAATAGTATGACGTTTTCATGACATTTTATGCCTTACTAAAATTTGACTTTTTCTTTCACGTTCTATGAAATTTTTTGCATTTTTATACCTTCCTATACTTTGACGTTTTTTTTTACGTTTTTATTGCCTTACTATACTATGACGTTTTATGCCCTTTTATGCCTTACAATAGTATGACGTTTTCATGACATTTTATGCCTTACTAAAATTTGACTTTTTCTTTCACGTTTTTATTGTCTTACTATACTATGACGTTTCATGCCTGACAATAGTATGACGTTTTTATGACATTTTATGCCTTACAATAGTATGACGTTTTTATGACATTTTATGCCTTACTAAAATTTGACTTTTTTTTTCACGTTTTTATTGTCTTACTATACTATGATGTTTCATGCCTTACAATAGTATGACGTTTTTATGACATTTTATGCCTTACTAAAATTTGACTTTTTTTTTTACGTTTTTATTGCCTTACTATACTATGACATTTTATGCCCTTTTATGCCTTACAATAGTATGACGTTTTTATGACACTTTATGCCTTACTAAAATTTGACTTTTTTTACGTTTTTATTGCCTTACTATACTATGACATTTTATGCCATA